CCATCACAGTCCCTCACCTCAATATACAATCTCAGATCAACTAGTCACTACCAGTCATAATAGAAGATCAAAATCTTACCACCTTTACTCAAGACCTGCAGAAACCTTCATTGGTAGATCTGCATAAACAACATATAATTAGAAAATCAGAACATTATCAAAACATTAGTAACCTCAACAAACTCCCTTCCTCACCCCATACCCAGGAAAAACACCAGCTTCCTTCCCTCAAAAATGAAGCACCAAACCCACTGGAAATTCAAGGACTCCTGCCACACCAATCAACTGGAAATCATCCATTCAGACCTAAATCTATTTTTACAATAGATCCAGAAATGACCAGCTATACTGGAGGAAGAAGAAAGATGGTCAAAATTAAACCTTTGGAAAAGAGCTTTTGTTTTGATGGGACTAACATGCCCATAGAAGAATTTATCAGCAAATATGAAGAAGCTGCAGAAACTGTTGGAGCAAACTCTCAAGATCTTGCCAGCCAGATATTGCCCTTTATCAGAGGAACAGACCTGCAAGATGAAGTGGAAGAAATGCATGGATATGAAGAATGCAATTGGGAAAACTTGAAGGGAGAGTTAATGTATAGATTTGGAATTAATCTCACCCTGGAAGAAATGGCTAGAGAGGAATTGGTAGATTTGGTCAGCTATGTTGCAAACATGGGTGGCATCAGCACTCCAGAACCATTCAAACAATTCATATTACAATTTGAACACATTGCTCACCACCTAATCATGAATGGATACAATTCCCACATGAATGAATTTTCAAACCTACTTTGGCAATCCCTCAGCCCAAAATTGGAAGGAAACATATCTGATCTACTTACCTGGGATGGTCACTTGTTTTTGGATGAAAATTTTCACATTGCAAAACTACCACCCTATAATGTAATCCTGGAATATATTGATATGGAGTTTGAACAAATGGATATCCATCAAGAAATACCTGATCAACCTGAACAAAAAATTCACCAAACCCATCAGAATTACCATAGAGTAACCCACATGGAAGAATCTATCTCAGAAATCCAGTCACCACTTACAGAAAATTTTCCCCCAGTCCCTTCTTCAACTTTGGATTCCTGCCCCCTGATCCTGGAAAATGCCCCATCCCTGGAACACTTGGAAAAAGAAGAAACCAAAGACCTTGGGTCAGAAATAGAAATCTTACCAGCAAAAATTTCTCCTGGAACATTCTCACCATGTGCCTTGATTGAAGAAGATTGCCCCCCAGTAATATCAGTAACCTTGGAATTTTCCCCCCTGATCTCTCAAAATTGTGTTGAATTGGAACCATTGGACAATAAGGAACAAGAAAATTCTGGACCAGAAATTGCCACCTGTGAAGAAATTAGACCTACAGAAGAGCCTCTACCAGTAGAAGAAATCCCAGAAAGTCTTGGAAATCTATTACCTGCAAACCTTGAGGAAAAATTTGGAGAAGAGGAAACTGAAGAAATTTTCAGCAATAATTTTAACCCAGTGGATGGATCAGCCTTGGACATAGTAGTATTGGATCAGTTGCCTGCCATAAATTCAGAAGTTCTCATTACTGAAAAGACTGAAGCTCCAGAGAGACCCAGATCAGAAATCTCACAATTTGGACCACCAGGAATTCTTACCCACAAGACTTCCCCTTTGTTGGAAATCCATAACATAGAATCAATCTTGGCAGGTGGAACAGAAGTAGAATCTCACATGGTACCAGAAATAAATATCATTGGAAAGCAGATTGAATTCCCCTTTCTTGTCAAACCAGACTCAAGTACAAGCATATTGGAAGTAATATTCCAAAAGGACCCTGGTAAACCCAAAAGAAATTTCATTAAATCAGCATCCATTGTTAACCCTCAACCAGAATTCTTGGCTGCTTTTTCAACTCACCAAAAACCACTTCTTTACCAGTACATATTTCAAACCTTCAAGACCCCAGACATTAGTACAACCACTATCAAATCACCTCCTTTCACTCTTGGAAATATTGGAAAAGGCAAAACTTCAAAGTTCAGAAACAAAAGGTTCAATACTATCAGCCTGAAACAGAGCTCATCTAGGTGTTTAGGAAGCCACTTACTTAAATTCAGAGATAACAACTTGCATTTCATGTCTTTCCTGGTTAAAGTAAAAAAGAGGAGGCATTCAGTTTTCCAATTTCATCACACCCCAGTGAAGTTCAGCAGGTATGGCTTCAACTCTCTCTGGCTACCTGCTAGGATAATGACATCCATAGTGTGTTCAACTTATTGGAATATTTCATTCAAGAACCGATCCAAGGCTAGAAAGAAAAGAAATAAGATGGGATGTCAGCTTGTTACACCGTTTAGAGAATCAGAAAGTACACAATCATCTGGTCCTTTTGGGACCAAGACCCAGCCTATATATGTTGAAGCGATCACTTTTGCTTCACTGGTGTTGTATAGCTTGGATCAAAACTTCATAAAGAAGGAAAGAAAAAGATACCTTAGCGATGATAATGATGGTCCTATTGAAACAGCAAACTACGCACCACTGTCCGACCGCTTTCTGGATAGATTATGGGCTATTGGATTTAAAGCGACAGGCTATGATTCTTCACAGTTAGATCACTCATCGCGAAATAACCTCAAGTATCTGATGACAAGTTTTGAAGCGATTAATTTAGCTTCACTGTCTTTGAAAGTGTTTGATCAGAACTCCAAGAAAAAGAATAAACAGACCGGTTTCAGCTGCATCGGGTTTGTTTTCCTTCAGAAGATTGACAGGACAAAGGAGAAGGATGCAAGCAATGATTCGCTATTGATGTCCAGCCAGACAAACGATCAATCAAATTTGCAAACCTACAGTTTAAAACTTTTGGAAGAAAACAAACAGTCGATCAGTCAGAATATCACAAGCCATTCAAGAGATATGGTAGCTTTAGATAACTTAAAGAAGCAGGAGACCAAGGTACCTCAAAAGCGATTGATTCTATCAGTATGCAGGTTGAGGGAGATCAAGTTTAGGATGCAGCCAAGCAAGAACAAAACAACAGCAGAGTGGAGATCAACATCTACATGTATTCGGGTTCGCTTGAAAAAAAACAGCAGCAAAAGAACGGTCAGTTTTGCTGTTGGACAGTGTAAAAAGGGAGCTTAAGAGGCCAAGGGATGCTCAACCTGTAGTTTGCTTGAAGGAAGGTAAGACTAAAATGACAAACAGGCAACTGACCTTGCTCAAGTACAGCTTAGAAGACTTCACTTCCAGTCAGATCACCACAAGGAGGCCTATGGCTGTAGTTGAACCGGTTCGCTTGAAGGATCAGGAGCTGAGGGAAGCAATCGAGCGGTTGGTCCTGTCAAACAACAGCTGTGGACGGATCATTCAATATCAAAATGTTGCAAGAGGTCTAACAAGAGTTGTAGTTGCAGTTTTCTTGAGCAATGGAAATGGCAAAATAGAAATTAGCTCGTTTTCATCATTTACCGATATCCTCAAATTGATTTGCCAAGCTTCAAGCGTTGGAAAACCAAGAGCTGCTGGGATGTCTGATTGTTTGGTCAAAAAGGCACAACAGACCGCGGCTTTATAGTACCAATCAGCCAACCATGACTCGGCTGGTGTTTTCTTTTTTCAGATGATGGCTATCTAAGACTGCTCTTCTTCTTGGGCTCTTCACCAACCCTTTTCCGATCAATCCGACAGGTAATTTCTCTTCTTGGTTTCTTTTGTTCTATCCATTCGTGCAAAAAACACCGACCTGGCGACCTCAAACAATTTTCTCCCTGAAACCAACGGTGCCACAGATACGAGACATGTATTTGTATCGGATCGTATCGTATTTATTTTGAGCCTGATACCGGTATCAGTATTTCCTTGGTTGGTGAAAAAATACATTGTATTGGATTTGGATTTAAAAATGAAAAAAAAAAGAAAATTCGTCTTCGTTTTTTTCGTTTTTTCTTCAATACAGCCAAGTATCTTATGTATCAAATACGGTTTTGGTGGGATCAGTCATCTGAGACGATACAGAATACATTTCTCACTTTTCAAATACAATACATGTATATGTCTCAGGAAAGTGAGACAACACAAATCCGGTATTTTTGGGTATTCCAATTCTGAGACGATACAGATAAACGCCTGATACCGTATCGTATCGTCTCTGTGGCACCGTTGCTGAAACATTGATTGGACAGAACAGTGGTTTGGGCTTTGGAAATCTCAATAGTCAGTAAAAGAACAATAGACCAACTGCATGTTTCAACAGCAATACAGAATGTGATGCTTGTAAAAAAAAAAAAAAAAAAAAAAAAAAAAAGAAAAGGGGGGGAAGGCATGATCAGGCCCTTCAATTCTTACTGAAACCCACCTGCACATCATTTTCAACCTTCAGAAATTTTCGAAAACCCTCTTTCTTTAAATCTAAAGCAACACAAATCCTGGACACCTCTTCACATCAAATTTGGGGGTTTTTTAAAAATAAAGACAAATACAAAAAAATCAAATAAAAGAATTAAAGCCACTCAACCCTAAAACAAACCCATAATTTCCTGGCTCTCTCTAATCAATTCCATCAGTCAAATCTTTTCATTCCCTTTCATCATTTTCTCTGTTTCAGCCTTCTTCCACCCCTCCACATGCAAATTTGGGGGTGGTTAAAAGTATAAAAAAATCTTAGAATAAATTACTAAACAGACCAACCCCTTCCCTCAAAAACATGCAACCTGCCCTCTTTTCTATTCATTTTCTCTTTTCTTCTTCTTCTACCTCCTCACTCCTTGTGTGCCTGAAATATCACCTCTGTCACCATTTGTAAATCTTCCACTTGTTTGTGTTTCTTATGTGAAATTAAGTAAATTAATTTGTGTCCCATATTTTGTGTTCCACTTTTTGTGCCCATTTACCCTGACCCAACCTTTTTTCCCCCTTATTCAAGATTGCCCTCTTCTTTGTTTGGATGATGGGGTCATCATCTAATTTGGGGGTGGATGTGGTAAGCCAATCTTGAATAAGAGGCCCACAAAATCAAAGCTTCAAGTACAATATCAAGCCCTCTGAATGACAAGACCCTCAAGGACCAAGACAAGCCCCTTCTGGAATATTCAGCTAACCTGCAACACCATCAATGTCACAAGACCAAGCCCCCTGGAGAAACACACTCGATTCCCCATCACCTTTCTTTATTACATAATCCTCTCATGCAGTCTTACATCATCAATCCCCATTCAGCCTTCCACACTTGGCCTCTGCATGTGTTTCATTCTATTCCATTTTCACTCTAGCATCATTTCCACTTTGGGCCACAATCTATTGTTTCACACTATTCCTCTTGGGTTATTCTCATGTCTCACACTAGTACACATCTGGCTAGTTCATTTGTCTCTTTGGTATTTTCTTCCTCCCTCATTGGTTGTGGCACATTTCATCCCTGCATGTCTCTGATGTCATTTCCTCTATTCATCTTAGTGCCTACCAATTGGGCCACATTGTTTCAGTTTGATAATTTTCTCTTGTTCCATTTTGTTCCATGATGTTTCCAACCACAAGCTGGCCACTCCCCAGATTTTGTATATAAGGAGCCTTGTTTTCCCCTCTTCATTTGTTCCCCATCAGATCCTGCCCCAGCAATCCAGATCACTGATCACCCTTCATTAGCCTAGTAGTTGCCCATCAACATTTGGGATACTAGTATTATTCAGACAGAAGACCAGAAGACAGAAGACATACCCATCTCAAGAATTCTCCAAAGCCACACCTTTCCTTAAGAGTCCACACTCTTATCTTTTTCTTGTTATCTTACTCAACCCAGTTTACCAGAGAGGCAGCCCATTAAAGCATCTTTCCCTCTCCAGCTCTATTCATCCCAAAGAGTAGTTCCACAACGCCGACCTGGCTATGTCTGGTGTGCAACTTGAAGTTGATGAGCAAAGAGATTGTGATCGACGTGTTGAGTCTAGATCTATATCCATTCCTATATAATTGCCATCCACTAAGTTTTTTTTTGTGGGATGGGATAGATTGTTTGAGTTGATTCTCAAGGCCAGTCTGAGTTTGATCAACACTGTGGTGATTGAGGCGGATGGGAAGTGGGATGACAAGCAATACACGGTGGGGACGAGTTTGAAGAAGCGCTGGTCGCAGTTGGTGATTCAACTAGCCTCATCCTCATAAACCTGAGCATCAGCTCCATTCAATCACTTCTCTTGACATTGTTTATTTCAACAAGGAGCTCCAAACCTACACTAGTACCTCGTTCCGACAACCCAGATGCGATTATCCGAGCGTCCAACGCGGAACAACACAAACGCGAAGCATTAGCGGCCCATCTTGTTCCGATCCCAGCGTCACCTCCGCCAGCATCTTCCGTTCTGACCAAGCAACCGACCATGGCTACTTTTGGCAGCCAAGTTCCTGGCGGCTTCCAATTCCGATCAACTCATTCTTTTGTCTTCTTATATCTATCAGACTGGATAATCAAAGTGCATTCAATGTTCTGACTCCTCCCGGAGACTTTATATCTGGCAATCAATCTGATGGATAGATTCCTGACCAAAGTGGAGGCCTTGATCAAGTTCCATGCTAACCAAAATCTTTCTTTTGCAAGACATTTATACCCCTGCCTTTCACAAATTGTTATTGACATAATATCATGAATGCTGACCAATGGTGTTCCCTTTTTGCATAACAGTGAAACAATACTGGATTCAAGAAACTGTACTCACTCAAAAGTAAGTGCTCTTTCTAATCCGCATAATGTTTCTTCACGTGATTGCTGGGATTGCATGGCTGCTGTGTGATGCTTGCTGAGCGCAAAGCTCAGCAGGCATCACATTGTGGGATTGATGTGGCCTTGGCGCAAAGACTTGGCCCCATCAATTCCTGGCCAGACAATCACTCAACATATGGTGGGCTAACCCATATTTGTTTTGTGTTAAGATGGATGGGCCAGAGGTATTCAGTGTTGCTGGCCTCAAGAGAGGATCTGATTACGACAGTGACCGAAGCTTGAGCTCCCAGGCCATCAACTTCTTAAATTCTCAGCACCAACAGTCATACCAGCGGGTGGTTGACTTCGATCTTCACGCAGTCTTCTTAATGCAAGAATTTTGAGCAGAAGATACCATTCAACAAATCATTACTATGATCAGCACCACTTTCACTGAAGAATACCCACCAAAAAACACCCTCCAACAGCAGTTGGTCAATGCAGCAAAATTAGTCAACCAAAGAATCCAAAACTACAAACAGCAACCTCACATGCAGAAGCCATTTTCCCTCAGGTTCCCAACTTACAGTGATGGTTTCAAGCATTTTATGGAGTTGCAGGATAAATTTGAGGTATTACCAAATGATAAAATGGTTATTCTGATTGATGAGGGGGGGTGTATGTGTTGGAGTTGGACTTCCTCCAAAGCCCCAATCCACCCAGAGCATACATGCCCCTTGAGATGTAAGTAATCTTTTGGAAAAATGTCTTTGGAGAATCCAGACTCACCATGGTGTATGATTAGCACCGGGCAACAGATAGATTAGATCAATTCGTTAATGATAATGTTCTTCAAAGCGTGGAGGCTCCAATGATCCAATCTGGCAAAATTTCTAATCAGTTTCCGACTTCCCAGTTCCCACTTTCCACCAAGAACAAAGGGGAGATAAGAGCCAGGCCAGAAGCCAAGAAATCAACTTGCTCTTTCCAAGCATATGGATTTGGATTGGGCAGTGTGAGAAATGCTTCTTTAGTGTTTTCTTTGATTCCAAAGCAATACTGACTTTGAATTTTCTCTGCACCACTTACTTTCCACAAGCCGCTTTCTGCTGGAGCTGCAGACAAAACAATCAAGCTTGCCACCTATAGCATCAAGAAAATTGACCTACAAGGCCACGGGGACCATTGGAAATCTGATCCTAAGCCCAATCTTCCAGAACCACTCAGATCTGACCCTGGTCCTACCATGCAAGGCCTGGTGGAACTTCGACATGACATGGTCTTCTACCATAGGATATCTTACTGGATAAATAAAGTCTTTTTACCAGATGCATCTTCCATTGCAGAAAGCGCAGTGAAGTACTTGGAAAAGAAGGCATCAACCACGGTGAAAGAGTCTATTCAGGTAGAAAAAAATATAATCATTGCAGGTAAGTATAAGAAGAATATCTATTTGACCTGAATATAATTCTGACTTTGAATTGAGCATTGAAAAGCCCGAATCATCACAGTCAATACCCATCCAAACACACATAGAGACCAAAACAATTCCCTGTTGATGGATAGTGTATTCTTCTTTGGGAATCATATTGGTGGACATTTTCTTCTCCCTGGGCTTGATGTTGCATATCCAGGCTTGCACGGCTATTCCTTTCAGGGTCCATTTCACATTCTCTTCCATGGTGTTTCCCAGCTCCACTTCACAGAAGACATTACAGACCCCAGACAATATTCAGTTGCCATGTGGAGCCGAGCCTCCTCTTTTTCTGCAATTGCTCGATTTTCCGCACATGACAATGGAAATGAGGTATGATCAATCTAGGTATTTAATCATGTATGTACTAAACTGCCCATCTTTTATATTGGATCAACAGAAGTTTAGCAATGATAAATATTGGCTTCCACTTTATCCTGAATACAACCCTAAAATTACTTCAGATCTTCTCAAAGCTGAAGTGAAAATTGTCAAGAAAGAAGCCAAGAAAGAATCCAAAAAGAGACAAAAAACCAAAAACTAGCTTTTATTTATTGGTGTCTATATATCTCTGTTCATCTTATCTCTGTGTGCCAATCTGTTGCATTTTTCTTAAGAAGAAAACAACTCATCAAATGAAAGAAATAAACAGTAGTTGGTAGTTTTTAATTAAAGGATTTGGAGTGACAATTCTTTGGAAATTGGTCTGAATTCCTCTTAAAAGAAATCAAATAGCAATGTGAAATTCATAAACCTATTTAACACTGCCCTTGAAGAATTTTCTTTTGATAAGTCCTCAACTACCTTGAAAAAAGCTGGGGAAAAATATAATAAGACTATGTTTATTCAGAGGTGTCCAAAACAAGGGTAAAAACACCATTCTTGTGAGCCTGGGTCTCAATAGTGACAACAGGACACAAGAATTTGGGGGGCACTTTTAAATGTATTTCTTAAGAGAAGAGGAATACAATTAAAAGTAGAGAAAAGGGGAAAAGAAGACTGAGGGAAAGTGATAATATTTTTGTTCTTTATTTATTTTAAGATGATGAATTAAGTTGAGCAGTCTTACTTTCCTATAAGGATGGCTGGTTATAAGCAGAGCTAACTCTACGCCTCCAAATCAACAGAAACTGATATGGGTTATTGACACTGAAGAATCAGGTCAACCACAATTTTTTAGATCAAAGATGATCAAGGTTCTTTAAAGGGAAACCTAGGTAGTTTTCTAGTTATACTACCAAACAGGAAAGAATAGAATTTGGGGCAGCTATGGCTTGCTTGCTGGGATCAGGGCTTTGGTTATGAGAAGAGGTGAAAAAGGGGTGAGGGAAACAGAGAAGTGAAACAAGCAGGAAGATGCTAGCTAAGACTTATGAGGAGTAACTTACTAATGACACCAATGACACGTGGTAGTGGGAAAGGTGGGAAAAGTGGAGTACTTCTGTTGGATAAGTGATGGCTTGATCTGGTTCTGGTTGTTGGTGTTCTGAGTTGGTCTGGAGTCTGAAAATCCTCTGGAAGCGGAATCAACAAGCTCAGAGAGGATTTTCAAAGTTGGATTATGTAATCTGGCATGTACATGTGGTAGAGGGAGCTGAAACCTAAAGGTTAGAATAATTCTTGAAGTACTGTGAATTGTTACAAAGTCAATGAAGGAATGGAGTTGTGTAAAAGTGATCAGTGGTGACTAGGGTTAATTTTACACCAGGAATCCATTTCTGAATTCAGAAAGGTAAAAAGTCTTAAGATAAAAAAGATAAGATAATGTTTGGAATATAAATGGGCAGTTTGGGCAGTCTTTTGGCAAGCTTGGCTGGCTCTAAGGCTGACATTCCCTACCACCAAAAGAGGTTTTGTTTCCAAGAAATAAAATATCAACAGTCTCTCTTCTCACTCCTGAATTTCCTAAGGACTGAGTTAGCGTCAGGTATGTCTTTTTCCAGGAGCCATTCGTCTTTATCTGCACTCATGTTCTTGTATCTTGCTAAAAACATCCTTACATCTCTGTTGTCCACTCTTATCCTCTTTTCTCTAAGTGTCTTCAGGATGACTTTGTTCTTTGGGTTTTCTTCCATGGGGGGAATCACTACCTTAACCTTCTGTCTTAAAGGGAATTTTTCTGGATTCGGGGCACGGTAGGGTTTGACAAGGCTCACTGGAAAGGTAGGATGCTTTCTACTGAATTCTTCAGTCAGAATGACTTCAACTGCATTCTTTCCATGTAGAGCTTTCACTATAAAAGGTCCTGCAAATGAATCCCTCATTTTTTTTGGTCCAGACAAGTTATTGAAGTTGGAGGTAGATATGAGTACTTGGTCACCTATTTGGAAAGATGGTTCTTTATGAGTCTTGTCCCATCTTTCTTTGTTGTAAGCAGTTGCTTCCGTAATGCAATGTTCAGCATGCACTCTAGCTTTCTCAAATATCTTAGCGTAAGTGAGGGCTGTGGGATGAATATCTACTGCGTCTCTCTTCAGGAAGTTTCTGGGTAGGTTTGGCATCCACCCTTTCTCAAGAAGAGCTGGTGCTTTTCCTGTGGTAGAGTGTATGCTAGTGCTATATGCTAATTCAAGTATAGGTAATAATGAAACCCAGTCATGGGTATACCCATCATTGTCTTTGAATTCTAGTCCATAAGCACAAAATCTCCTCACCATGTCTTCCAGTGTTTGTATCATTCTCTCCGCTAAGCCATCAGTTTGCGGGTGGTAAGCAGTAGAAAAGGACAACTTGGTTCCTAACATACTATGCAGTCCTGTCCAGAATTCTGAAGTAAATTTGGGATCTCTGTCTGATATGATTATCCTGGGTATTCCAGTCCTTGGCATGACTCTGTTCCAGAAAAGGACGGCTGTGTCCATGGCAGAATCATCTTTGAAGCAAGGTATGAATATGGGTGATTTAGAGTATCTGTCTACTATTACTAGACATGCATTAAAACTAGCAGCACCTCCTGGGGATAGAGAGGTGACCCAATCCATGTTCACAATGTCCCAAGGCTTTGATGGTTCTTGGATCTTCATAAGCAAGCCAAACCTTTTCCCTGTAGCTTTATTTGCTTTCTGGCACCTATCACATGACATACAATATTCAGAGGTGTCTTTTCTCCAATTCTGCCACCAGGCAGTGTCTTCCACTCTTTCTAGAGTCCTGTCCTCTGAGAAATGGCCAGAGTATACACTGTCATGGCACTCATGAGGAACTACATTGATACTATCTTTATCTGCAAGAACCAAGACTGAGTTATGTTTTTCCCTGTGATATATAAGACCATCAAACAAGGAGAATCTCCCTTCTGCATAGGATGTTTTCCAAGGTTCTTGTAATGAATTCTTCAACGCTGAATCTTTATTATCCTTTGTGAGTATCTGGGATAAGATGACAGTGTTGTTATTCTTCTGATAACCTTCTTTCACTGTCTCAAAGAATTCATCTTTGAAGGAGGAAACATGTATGCCCATGATAGGGAATCTATCATCGTCCTTGTCTTCTGGGTCATAAGCAGGATTGCTGGGGTCATTTGGCAAAGCCCATCTGCTTAACCCATCCGCATTCTTGTGTATATTCCCATCCCTGTGCTCTATTTCCATGTTTGCTCTGTATTCTTGTATTGCAATTTGCCACCTGAGCATATGTCTGTTAGGGGTTTTCATGTTGAGTAAAGATCTCAATGCAGTGCAATCTGTTACAACTTTAAAAGAACTACCATCCAGGTAATAGTGCAACTTCTCCACTGCCCACACTAGACACAGGCACTCTAATTGGCTAGCTCCATACCTTGTTTCACTGTCCTTGAGTTGTCTGGAAATGAAAACAATTGGTCCTTCTTTTTTTATTCCATCAATTTTTTGGACTTGATGGAGGGCTGCACCTAGTCCTGTCATACTAGTCCTGTCATACTGGCATCTACATATAAGATGAAGGGGTATTTCCAGTCAGGAAAAAGGAGCAAGGGAGCTGAAGTTAGTTTCTCTCTGAGGAGGTTATAGGCTGCAAGTCTCCTATGGGTCATGTCAAACACAACTTCAATTCTTGTCAGTTCTGTAAGTGGTCTAGCAATGTCTGCAAAGTGCTCAATGTGCTGTCTGTAATATCCAGCAAAACCCAAGAATGATTGGACCTCTTTCTTGCAATTTGGGACTGGTTTTTGCAAAACAGCCGCTACTTTTTTCTGGTCTATTCCTATTGCTATCCCAGACACTACATGACCTAAAGCTTTGATCTGGTTGAAACCAAAATTACACTTTTTCAAGGAGATTTTCATATTCATCTTAATGACAATCTGTAAGATCCTACTGATTCTTATCAGGTGTTCTTCCCAAGTATTTGACATTATAATGATATCATCAATGTAAATGATGACCCACTTTTCATCTAATTCTTTTCTGAACTCTATGTCCATCATCCTTTGGAAATGAGAGGGGGCATTCTTGATCCCAAAGGGCATTCTCAAATATTCATAGATGCCTTTATGCAGAATAATTCTCAACAAATGTCTGGAGTCTTCAGCTATCACATTTTGATGGAAACCTTTCAATACATCCATACTAGTCAGGAATTTGGCTCTGGCTAGATTGTTCAAGGTCTCACTGATTTTTGGTATTGGATACCTGTCAGCTGCTGTGTAAGAATTCAAGGATCTGAAGTCTCCTACCATCCTGGATTTTCCATTGTGCCAGGCTATAATCACGGGAGTAGTGATTTCTACAACTTCATTATGGCCAACTTTCCTTAAAACATTCAGCCTAACCAATTCTTCTATGTGTTCTTTGAAGGCTTCTCTGCTTTTTGGGCTAGCTGGGTAAGGGGCTTTACGTAGAAGAGGGGGATAGGGTCTCTCTGTGGTCAGGGTTAAATGGACTTCATGCCCTTTTATGGCACCTAGTGGTTGGTCAGTGTTGGCGAAAGCAAGCTTGTTTGAATATAGTACCTCAAACAATTTTTCTTTCTGCTCACTGGACAGCTTCTCACTTATCTTTGCGTCAGATAATTCTTCAGATATAAATTTCTGAAGCAGTGGATCATTTTTCTTAACAGAAGATATTTCATTAGAGAGAGGCATTCTGTCATTAACATGGGACTTAAAGCTGAATTTCTTCCTTTTGTTATCATTCCCAATAGTGAAGAATCTTTCCTTACTGTTGGTGATATCAAAACCATACAGAGACATGTAATCATTTCCCAAGATGAGGTAATTTATCCTAGCATTTTTCATTACTACAAACTCGGCTACTATTCTCACTGACCCTCTAGTGTGGGGAAAAATAAGGGGCATCTCCACTATCCCTAAGGGTTTTAATTGGTCACTACAACTATGGAACCTAGCATGATTAATGGGCATGAGTTTATCTTCCCACAGGGGATCAATGTGCTCCAAGAGGGATTTGCTAATGATAGAGCAGGAAGCGCCACTGTCTAGTAGACAAGAGAATTCTTTCTGGTGGATCATAACACTGGTGAGGTTTGATTTTCCAATAAGGTGGCCCTTTCCTTTATCAGGTTTGCATCTCATTAATCTAGCATCTTCCATGTGGGAAGTGTGGCAGTTCTTGTCCCACGTCTGGGGTTGATGGGATTCAGCTTGTATTTCAGCTATGGAGAATTCATTAGTTATCTCACATTCTACAGCACATTCATTAAAAGAGAAGTCTATCAAAGGATCAGAAGTACCATAATTTTCTAAGGCTAAGATCATATGATTATTCTCATGACTGTCTTCATCTTTATCTGAATGATTGTCTGATTCACAAGGTTCATTTTCTCCAGCATTCTCTCCGCTGTCAGAGTTTAGCTCTATGTTATTTATTCTGCTCCTCTTTCCAGGGCATTCTCTGGATTAATGCCCTGGTTGTTTACAGAAATGACAAACATCTTTACCTTTGGAGTTAGATGGAGTAGTAGCTGGGGTCTTTTTTGGGTCAGAGTCAACCTTGGCAGCTTCAACTTTGCTATCCTTATTGTTATTTCTCCAGGGAGGCTTTGTACTCTGGGAGGCATTATTGTACCTAGATCTGTACTGTCCCATAGCTCTGTTCAGCACTTCTTCTATGATAATGACCATTTCTTCAAAATTCATGTCTTCATCAGCTTTCTTATATCTACTCTTAACAGCATGTTCTAAGGAACCAGGGCACTGTTTGAGGATCTTTTCACAGACAAGATAATCACTGAGCTCAGGCTGGTATGCCCTAAGTCTTTCTCTCTGGGTATTGAACCACTTGTGGACTTTTCTATTTTCTATTGAGAAATGATCTTTCTCAAATTCTACTCTCATTTTCCATTTCCAATTATGAGTGCCAAATTTACTTCTAATAGTATTCTTCCACCAAGCCCAGGACTTTCTCCCATGTTTGTCTCTGATTCCTATGTACCAATTCTTAGCTGTATCAGTTAGTAGCGCAGTTAACCTACTAATTACCATGTCATCAGTCATGAGGTAATCTTGGATGAAGACGTCAATGTGTTGGAGCCACAACTCATGGTTATATGGTAATTCACCAGAGAAAGTTTCCCATTCACTGGTCTTAGGGATGCCTTTCCATAACTGGTTTCTCACTTCAGGATTTGTTTCACCATGATCAATGAAAGGGAATTCTATAAGCCAGGATTTAGAGTTATTACTCTCAAGAGGCTTATTTTCAATTTCACTGTTGACTATTTTATTTGTTTGTTCTTCCAGTCTTACGGGTACTTGGGAGTGGGGAACAGGATTTTGTGGCCATTTTTCTCCTTCTAGAGGGGGCTGATTGATTAATTGTTCAGCCTGAGCATTTGACCATGGGTTATTGTACTGAAGGTGAGGCGGTGATTCTTTATACTCAGGCTCAATAATAGAGTTTAACTTACTATTTATTTGTTGCGTGGTGTTGTGCAAATCTCCTAACCTTCTTTTAACTTGTTCAAATCTGTTGTTCTCATTTACATTTAAATCAGTTACTTGATTGGAGACAAAGTTAAATTTCTCAGACAATTTCTTCTCTGATTCTCTCACTCTACCCATAACTTCTTCTCTTTCAGAATGGTGCAAATTATCTTTCACATACAACACATCTTGCAGATCTTCTATTTTCTTATTCAGGTGATTTTTTAGTCCTTCTATGTCACAGGGGCACTGAAAACAGTTGTTACTGTTTTTGATGATATTCTTCTCACTCAAAGATTCAATAACTTTGCTCAAAAGAGAAGGAATAATTTCATTACTTAACAGATCAGAGAAAGAATTTTTCATAGAGTTATTTAAGTTGGAAAGACAAGATTCTATTAGGGAATGAGGGATAGATTCCATGGTTCCAGATAATTCAGAGAGAAAAATAGAAAACAGATCTTGTAACCTTTCTTCTATTAGTAGAGGTACCTTGTGTGTCAGTTCTTTGTTGATATTTTTCAAGAAGTGTTCCTTCCTTGAAGGGTCCAATAGATGTTCAAGATCGAAACTGGTTGACGATTCTATTGGCGGGGTTGCACTGGGGGTTCTTCTTGAGGGTGAGGATGTCATCTCCCCCTTCCTCTCCCTCTCCCTTGGCCTCGGACTCTGAATACCCTGCCGGCAATTCGTTTGGCTCTCATCAGATATTCCCCGACTTCGATCAATTGGGCTGTTTGGTCTCGAGGGCGTCTCCCGTTCCTCCCAAATCCTCTCCAGTTTCCTCGCTGGGGGGGGGGGGGGGTGGGGGGGCTGTTGGTGCGTTTGGTTCGGAACAACTTGCGTTTGTTGCGGCGCATAGTTCTGGAAGATCCTTGTTTGAGGCTGAGTTTGCTGGTAGTAGCCTTCTTGCTGGTATTGAGGGAGGGGCTGCTGGTAGTATTGATGAGCTTGTCTCAAAAGCTTGTGTCGAGTTACCTCCGATGGGGGTTGAGTAGACGGTGGCGGGGGTGGAGGTAATGGGTTGTTTCGCTGAGGAGCTTGGCCAGTTCCCAGGAAGGTCACGTCGGACGATTGGCGTGTCGAACGCTGAGGTGCGGGGGAAGGACTGACAGTGTGTTCGTGGGCTGTTTGCGTTATTGCCAGGCGTTGAGATCGGTTTTGGCTGGTAGCTTGAGCTCTGTCCAGATCCGCTACCTCCTCTCTGGCTATCCAATTTTTGCAGATCCTGAGCATTTCTGCCCCGCCCGCTAAGAGCCGGATCTCTTTTTGGCTGGATGCCGCTTGTACTAGGGCCATTCTCATCAATCGGGGGTTCTGATTTTCTCGAGCTTGGACGAAAGTGTTCCATTGCTTGTTGAGAAGATTGATCACAGTCTCCAGGTCTTGGTTGTCCACTATGATATCTTCTGGACCAAGAGGGGCTGGAGATGGACTCGTAGCTAGGAACGGGCTTGGACTTGGTTGATGAGGGGTCGGAGATAGTATCTGTCGACCCATCGCGGTAGTCGAATTGACCGGGAAGACTTGTCGTCTATTGGATGGGGTACGGGCGTCGACCTGTTGGACATGGTGTCCAGCGCTAAGGAAGTTGCCCTCGAATTGATTAAGGCAGGTGAAATTCCTTGATCCGACATCAAATTTTCGGCCGCCTGTGGTCTCGTAGCGGTGCCGGTAATTGATGGCAGACTGGAGCCTAAGTCTTTGAAGCCGCTCGGCTGCGGCTGGGCTGAATGAGTACCTCTGGTCATTGCTTTGCTGTAATCCAGAAGGTTCGTCTCCGGCTCTGCTGTCGGGTTGCTGCTCGCGTTCTTGGTGTTGGAGTTCTTGCTGCTGTTGTTCAACGGAGATGTTCCGGCCATTCCTGAGGTGGGCACCCATCGTCGTGACGATTTTTAGGAAGATGAGTTGGGAAAATAAAAGAATACGATCCGAACTTCAGTATTTTGAAGAAGATAGGTATCTCGATTGGAATATAATGACTTCAAAGATTCAGGGCAGACCTTTAGGATTATTTTTCCAAGGCTTTCTTTTCTTTTTGTTAGGTTTGTTAAGGTAGGTCAAAACTTCCGGCGTCCACTCAGGATAACGAGTAGGTTCAGATTCTAGTTGTAGTTTTTTCTTCCTCGTATTCGTTCTAGGATTTCCGGAAGTAGAAATCGGAGTCCAAGCTTGGGAAGAGATTATATTTTCGTTCTTTGGGGTGACTATACGGTCGGGTTCTGAGAGATAGGAGTCTGCTTCTAATCTGGAAGGGATCGACGATAGGTCTGATGATTCGAGATCAAAGGGGTCTGGCGGCGAGTCGAGCGTAGTCTGACTGCTTTTCTTCACTTCGCGAACGATGGTGTTTCGATCGAGGAACGCAAAAAAAATAGGACAAAGAGAAACGTTGGTTAACAACGTAGTCTTGGTTTGAACGAAGAATATAGAAAGGATTTTCGAGAGCGCTCCGCGATGAGATTTAGGTTTTTTTTTCTTTTTGCGCTGCGCGGTGGAACAAGAGAGATATGTATAGATATTGTAGTCTTCTCTTTCTAAGAAGGAAAGGAAGAGCGTGAAATATAAAAAAAAAATCTTTTTATTTTTTATTTGGCCTGATGAATTAAGTTTAGAGTATGATAATAAGAGAGGTCTTGGATAGAGCATTTCCTGATGAGGCCCCCAATTGTGAGCCTGGGTCTCAATAGTGACAACAGGACACAAGAATTTGGGGGGCACTTTTAAATGTATTTCTTAAGAGAAGAGGAATACAATTAAAAGTAGAGAAAAAGGGGAATAGAAGACTAAAGAAAGAGATAATATTTTTGTTCTTTATTTATTTTAAGATGATGAATTAAGTTGAGCAGTCTTACTTTCCTATAAGGATGGCTGGTTATAAGCAGAGCTAACTCTACGCCTCCAAATCAACAGAAACTGATATGGGTTATTGACACTGAAGAATCAGGTCAACCACAATTTTTTAGATCAAAGATGATCAAGGTTCTTTAAAGGGAAACCTAGGTAGTTTTCTAGTTATACTACCAAACAGGAAAGAATAGAATTTGGGGCAGCTATGGCTTGCTTGCTGGGATCAGGGCTTTGGTTATGAGAAGAGGTGAAAAAGGGGTGAGGGAAACAGAGAAGTGAAACAAGCAGGAAGATGCTAGCTAAGACTTATGAGGAGTAACTTACTAATGACACCAATGACACGTGGTAGTGGGAAAGGTGTGAAAAGTGGAGTACTTCTGTTGGATAAGTGATGGCTTGATCTTGTTCTGGTTGTTGGTGTTCTGAGTTGGTCTGGAGTCTGAAAATCCTCTGGAAGCAGAATCAACAAGCTCAGAGAGGATTTTCAAAGTTGGATTATGTAATCTGGCATGTACATGTGGTAGAGGGAGCTCAAACCTAAAGGTTAGAATAATTCTTGAAGTACTGTGAATTGTTACAAAGTCAATGAAAGGAATGGAGTTGTGTAAAAGTGATCAGTGGTGACTAGGGGTTAATTTTACACCAGGGAATCCATCTCTGAAAGTCAGAAAGGTAAAAATTCTTAAGATAAAAAAGATAAGATAATGTTTGGAATAGAAATGGGCAGTTTGGGCAGTCTTTTGGCCAGCTTGGCTGGCTCTAAGGCTGACAATTCTTAATATCATCAAGCCACTTTTCCCTTACAGGATTACGCATATATTCTAACCCAATTGCTAACTCATCAACCTTCAGAGTTGAATTCCCTAACTGGACTATCTTAACAGCTGGATTTTCCTTCTCCAGCAGAGTCACCGGATCCTTTTGTTTGGGGAAAACTGGACCCTTTTTCTTGGGGGAAGGATCATATTCAACTCGGAGTGCAAGACCTAAGAAAAGGAAATTATTAACCATGATAAATCAATTCAACTCATACCTTATAAATGACAGTACCCACATAGTAATCTATTGAGCTCCTGACGCAACTGAGTTCTTACAGTATCAGCGTGTTTTGGTCGTTTGGCAGGCCTGTTGGTTTCAGCCGAAGATTCTTGAAGAACTTGTTGAATATCTCTTCCATGACTATACGCTTCAAAGTTCTCCTTGGCAAACCACTTCGACTTCGCAATTTGCAGCCAGGATGGATCGTTTGACAACTCTTCACAGAAGCTTCCATTCCCGGGGAACCTGGTAGCTGACAACAAGTAAAATGTCAAGTTGTACAGGTTGGAAACAGTGAAAAGCTGAAAAGAAATCAATATTTTCAGATGTATAATGACCATTAATGCCAAACAGACTGTGCTTATTTACCTCGGAATTGATATGGATGATATGCTTGAGTGCTCTTTGTGAAACCACCGACGTATTATCAGGCGCTTGAGAATTACCTGCCAAGAACTCAACCTTTTCATGATTAACCAATCTTTGATAAAGAGGTCGATAGAGGGCCTCTTCCTCAGGGGTAAGAGATTCTTCTTCTTCTTCTTCTTTCTCGGTATCATGGTTGTCCAGGGAAGTCGGTAGTTTTGAAAAGAAGCAAAAAATCTTTTCATCGAAAACATTTTTTCATTGTTGTTGAGGGCAGCCCATGCCTGTCCAAGGTGGACATTTCTTTCTTCCCATCCCAACGAACAACCTTTTCGAGGAACTAGAATTTGAGAATCAGGAAGATATTGGTCAGTGAAAACATTCAAAATGTGATGATGTACTAGTAATCTCACCTGGTGTAATTGAGCTTTCCATGCTGAAAGCTACATACCGATTCCAATTGCTCTTTCTTCTTGGTGGTTGATCTTCTCCCCTGAGTAGATTCAATCCGGTTGTCAGCTTTCTTGATAAGTTGAAAATAAAGATAAAACTTACAACCAAGAGTTTACACTCTTTTCAGAAACATTCCCAATCAGCACCAGCATCAACTTAATCTTACAGTAGTTCTTTTTGTGGAATAACAGTGCTTCTTGTACTTCAGTAGGAATCTGGTTAGAAGTTTGAGTTTGCTTTCCTAAGACATCACAAAGTTGTTTATCGGTCCAGGACGACATTTGGCTTTCATAGTTTTCCAAAGTGAAAGCAATCTCATCGGAATCAGAATGTTCTTCGTGGTCACTGGATTCAGGATCACTTGAACCTCTGCTGCCATCACCTCCAACACCACCTAGGCGACCTCCATGACCTCCACGACCTCCACAACCTCCACAACCTCCACAACCTCCACAACCTCCACAACCTTCACAACCTCCACGACCTCCACAACCTCCACGACCTCCACAACTGCCTATCCCATTAGTTTGTCTTCCTTTGGAGTTACTAGTTGATCAAGTTTCAGGCATGATTGATTGGAGTGATGCAGAAGGAAGTGAACTGATATAAGATGGGTTGTGTGTTCTAGTTAAGTTTGGTATGATTTTGGTGAGTTCAGTTCAGTTTGGCTCTACTTCAAGTGGCTGTTAGGGTTTTCTATGGTTGTAGTTTCCGGTTTGCACACACACTTGAGGCACTGGCAGTGCGCGCACTCTTGAGGCACAGGCAGAGCGCGCACTTGAGGCATTTCTACCCAGCCAAATTTCAAAGCAGTTGCCACCCACCACATGAAATAAAAAATCATGTTATGTAAAAATCATTTCTACAATTGCTGATAAAAAACACTATTTTTTGGACATGGTGGGTGATTTGCCTTTTGGGGATGCTTGATACTGTTTGTTGAATTTGACTTTTTTTTTGAATAAAATTAAGGTGGGTTATTTGGATTTTGGGGATGCCTGATACTGTTTGTTAAATTTGACTTTTTTTTTGAATCAAATTAATTTTGAGCTGGAAAGAAAAAATCAACTTGCTTCTGCCAATGGATTGATTGTTGTGTTTTGTTAAGACACCCCCATACACATAAAATGAGTATTGCTTGGACTGTGTGAATCACTTGAGGTGCAAAATTTCAATGTAGGTGCCAGTAGGCACACATGATGTGCATGTGCACCCAGCCTGCAGCCAGTGCAGTTA